ATATACTGACATATCTGTATACATATAAGCAAATTACCGGTAACATTTAGTATGTATATAATTATATATTCGCCTGTATGTGTATTTATGAGTAATATAGTATCCATAATTTTAACTGAATAAATGAATGTCGATTTGTTTAATTTAATATTAAATACATTAACATGTTTTACATTTTATGAAGATTCCTCTTTCTGAATAATATATCATATATAGAAGATGGGTCTTTCAGTGAAACAAGCCTCCAATCTCTGTAAGTATTATGCAAAAGCAAATGTAGTGAATTCTACTTACCGTGGAGTGAATGACAAGAAAGTGGAGGTAGTCCCAATCATATGTCATCGAGTGAGAACGAGGGAAATAAAATTGATTACTTTATCTCGAACCATGTTGTATTTGTTTTACTATACTTCATAAATGTTAAACAGAAAATCGTAATTTGCAGTAGCCATTTTGATCTGTGATGGTACATAGATTGCAAACGGTTCACGCAGACAGGGTTGGAGGGTTGATTTGGTAGTCGAATATACCGCACTCACGTACCAAGTGGAATTAACCAATGAAGTTTCGATATTACCTAATAAATATTTATTAGGTATAGTAAAAGTCAATTAGTGGTGGGTTTAAGCAAAATATGTATACTGTGCTACTAATATTTTTCATAAATAGGATGTGTAAATTGAGTGGCAATAATACAATAAGCAAATTCGTAGTTTGAACTTCGCATGCCCGTATTAGCATAATAAAAAATCAGCAAGGTCAAACACACACACAACATAGGTTTAATATGGGCACACGCAGCTTAAAATATGTATTGGTTTATTTCATTCTAAAATTCGTGTTTTCTAGCTATATCTATGGAAATAATCTGAAGAGGATTACCAGTGAAACATTCATTGTTACAATGAGAACACTAAAATATCTGTAAGTGAAAAACAAATATGATTTGAAAAGTTATATCTGTTCGCAAAACAGAATAAATGGATTTTCCCAACTGCCATAATGATAACTGGTGTTTAAACAAATCATGGAAAACAGCAAAAAATCACATTTCATTTCATTTCATTTATTTTGTCCAAAAAACATTAAAATTGACAAACACAAGAAAACAGAGAGCAAAAAAACAACACTAAGTTGGCCGGACTGGATTGCCAAAAAGTGAACTGAATCACTGTCTAGTGGCTCTATAATGCCATAAAGTTATGAAGCAAAAATATGGTCTGCAATAATAATAGTAAGATGTGATATTAAAACGTTTGTCCATTACACAATAGAATCCAAAATCAATGGATTTTCAGTCCTTCTAACAGCTCCATACGTTAAATGCAAACATTGTTTATAACTTAGCTGTAACGTTTTACAAAAGAACCATAAAATGTTTAATTACCCGGAAGGGACAACCCGAAATTATTAATTTTAGTAATGAGATCGACAAAGAAACTGTAATAATATTTAAAATTAATAGAATAACGTTATATTTTAATATGCATATTGTTGATACATGGTTTTTGATTGGACATATTGTGAAGCAAATCCAAGCAAGGAAAGTACGGGATAGAAGGCGCCACTTGTGTGTGAATTTAAGCCAATAATTACTTTAATAATCATTCCATGTGATTAAACGATTTTCTATCTTTTAGTTATATATTTAATAATCCTGTTGAAGATTTGGATGAGGGAGCATTGTCACATCTGGCGCAGAATTCAACAGTGTAAGCATCGATTAACATATCTATAGCTTTCAACTTTTTAGTTATATTCAGAATTCTCCTACATTATTTTATCAGTTCTAATCCACATGGACTTTCACCGGCCAGAGATATAAAAAAAAAACTATCCGTTTGTGCATTATTTACAACAAGATTGATTTCCAGATGCTAGTAAAATCAGAAACTAAGTACAATTATGCCAGATTTTGTATATTGCTTTCTTGTTTTTAGTTTGAATATGCAATTATATAGACCTACAACGCAAAATGTGAAATCACAGATAAGGGGTTAAAATAGCTGAAACTCCTCTGGACCACCACTCCTAGAATAGTTTAGCGAAAAATCAGAACAAAAGTCGTCCCCTTGGACAATAGCTTCTCGATTTCTACTCGCGCCAATGTTTCCGAAAATAAACTTAAATTTAGGTCTACCCTACCTAATTCCACCAATTTAGAGTATATTTTGCTGCTTTATGGTAGACCTCGTAGCATACATGTTATAACATTTAGGTTATTTGTGATGTATTTCAGGTATCTGGATTGTAAAAACCTGGATCATATTCCGTCGACGATGACAGACAACAGCACAATTGCGTAATTGAATTTTAATTTTTGTTTTGTAAATTTCCTTCAAACATCATTATGGGTCTTTTTTCAGTAATTTTGACTGATTACTGTATCTTGATTCAAATTTTAATATTTTTTTAACATAATGTTCTTATGGTTATTATATTGAGGTTGTTTTTACTTTTTTTCTTAATCTTAGGAAATGCCTCACAAACAAAACAAAAATTGATTTCAATATTAATAATTTTGATGTTAGCGTTTCATTGCTTGGAATGGCGTGCACGGAAACGATATGTGAACCGTGTCCACTAGGTTATTACGGGAAGCTTACTGATGTGGGATGTTTCCCATGTCCGCCAGGTAATAATAATTCGTTTTATAGTTTTTTTTATTTATTCATTTGTCTTAAACTTATAATATTACGCTAATAATTTTTTTAAAACAATCTTCAGTAAAATAAACACGATTCAATGGCACAATTGTCGTAAGTGTGTGAGATAAAAATAGCTAACAACTAGACTATAAAGTGGGTAGGAATAATTATGAGGAAATCGGCTTATGGCGCATTGAGCCAATATTATATGAAAGGTAAACCATTAATAATTCACGTGAGCTGTAATTTAAAATGGAAAACTGTTTGTATAATGAAAGACTTTTTTTTAACGTATGTAGAGGGCCTCTTTTATTTGAAGGTGATAATAGTCCATTCGATAGTCTCAGGAATGTTTGTTATCGAGTTACATTTCGCAAAATTAAATGTATGAAGATAACGATGATATTAATTATTATAAAAACAATACATTGTAATATTTTCAGGTGGTTTCTATCAAGACGAGCTTGGATTTGTAAAAAACGGGACTTACCTAACCGATTGTAAACGGTGTCCCATTGGAACCTTTTCCTCACGTCCTGAAGCTCGATCAATTTTTAACTGCCAGTCATGTCCTGCTGGAACAAATACAGATTCACGGGCAGCTCTTGATGCATGCCCATGCTTAGAGAACTTTCATCGCACTTATCGTTACGGCACATGTCATCCGTGTCCAAGCGGCGTCGACTGCACAGGTGGTTACCAGAAATTGAAAGCAGGTTACTGGTGGTCGTGGGATTTTTTGGAATATAAAGGTCCAACTTATCTTGGAGGCTTTGAAGAGTACAACTGGTTTGTTTACCAGCTCAATAGCTCCTCATTTAATTCTTCAGAGCCCGTTAATTTGTTTGATACGGTGTATAAAGGATCTTTGCCTGCAGTCCACGTATGTCCACGAAGTGACAGTTGTGGTGGAGGCATTATTGAAGGAAACTGCTCAAAAGGTTACACTGGTTGGCTGTGTGCCGAGTGTAGTTCAAATTATTACGAGTTATTTGAGGATTGTCACAGATGTCAGGATAAAAAAGTCATTATCATTGTGACACTATTTGGATTTTTAGCATTTTTAGGTATTGTATACGGAATGTGGAAACTTGATAAACGAACAAGAAGAGGCACTATAATACGAAACGACTATTTCGTTAGTCATTTGAAAATTGCCATCAATTTCTATCAAATTCTCGGTATACTATCGGAAATTAATGAAATCCATTGGCCAGAATCATTTAAATCTGTTGGACAAAGTCTTCAGTATCTTGATATTGTACGGTACGTCAATGTGTTCAGCCCGAGGTGTATATTTCCACATTATAAATGGAATGCTTACACATATTTGTATATTGCTATCGCTACACCATTCTGTATTATTGTGTTGACATATATCGTCTTCTTTATATGGAACACCTACAGGAGGTATAAGCAACATTACCCACTGCATTACTTAACAGACAACTTCTTGTCTGTTACAATGATGTTGCTGTATTTGACCTACGCCAGTACATGCTCAAGCATCATGGCAATCGGGTCGTGGTCTGTCCGTACGTTTAATGTCACAGCAAATGGTACGTATGTGATACAAAAGCTAACTTCTGACTACTCCATCGACCTCCACGGAGAAGGTGGTTTAAAGGAATACGAGACCAACAAGAATATTGCTTATGGTTCCTTGGTGTATGTGATCGGTTTTCCTCTTGCAATCATCCTGGTATTGTATCGCAGATACAAACGTCATGAAACTGTTGGTGAAGACGAACGACCAGAAACCATGGGAATGACGTTCTTCTGCAAGCAATACAGCAAAAAGTTTTGGTACTGGGAAATAATTGATATGTATACTAAAGCTATACTCGCTCTAATTGCCAACTTTAAAGACGACCAAGCTTCCAACATGTCATATTCTCTCTTTATTACCGTCATCCTTATAGCTCTGCATCTGTATTTTGAACCAATGAAGGCTAAATCAGATCAGAGGTTTCAGCTATTGACACTTGTCTTCATTATCGTCAACTTATCGGTTGGTGCAATTGTTGACATCGGCGAGTCCGTGTACACTGTAGACGAGACTATACTAGTTCTTCATGACATTACACCATTTATTCTAATGCTACTTAACTTCTCCATTGTGTTAGTTGTTTTCGGTGAGTATTTTCATTTTGCGAAAATTAGTGTTACTTTGCAGCTACTTAAATGTTCTAATAAAAGACTGCTCTATATTTCATATTCATATATAATTGCAGTTGATCTACTTATGAAAGTGAAAAAGGGCTTTTGGGAAGAATTGGTTGATCTAGAAGACAACGGAGATCATGGTGATAATGACAATGAGCTTTCTGCAATACTGCAACCAGATATCGACAGCCTATCAACATACATTTCGACACCTCACAACTATTAGAATAATGGTCATTATTTGTACAGTACACTGTACAAATTCTATCACCAACTGTACAGTTTAATCAATACAAATACTGTAACAGCGAACGGCCATGACACTAACCTATTGTATTTTTGGATTTAAAAAATATTGTGCATTGCATTAAACAAATAATCTTTTTTAAAAATCTATGAACTTTATGCAAAACTCAAAATTGGGGACGGAGCATATCTATAGCTATGACTACACCATAAATTGATTGTTAACTTGGTTTGCCATTTATTTCCATTAATTGACTAATTACCTCAGTTTTTTTTTGTTTTTTTTTTGCTTCATTTTCTTCTGATTTTATTAGAAAAAAAAAAATCGCGTTTTAATATATTTTCAGATATTGCTGTGATTACTTACACTAAACACTGTTTCTATGAAGTATACGCAGTAATTTATTAATATAAGGTATTTTTTACTGGTAAGGTTAAACTTAATGAAACTAAGCCTAGACTAAACAGATAGATAATAAATACCTACTAGAAAGTTACTTTATTATTAATAACTTGTAAATCCACTTATGAAGTATTTTAAGTTTTAGTTTGATTTCACTTCAGGTTAGTGAGTATTAGCAAAAATACCGTAATAAAAAGCAAAAGATAGAGCAGTGCGCGATATAGTGGAACACCCCATGAGGGCGTCCATGAGAGCAATATCAAAGATCTTATAAACACAAGATAACGTTCTCCGCGATTTTACGCGTAACAAATAAAAGCGTCGATTTGGCACAGAAAAGCATAGAGATATAATAAGAATACTAGAGCGCTAACTGCAATGTGTTTGATGTTCCAAATACGCAGAGCTATGTGTGTGTACTATCCAAGATGGCTGCCATAGATTCAGCCAATCAAATTTCGCCTAAGCACTATCATTTTCAATGGCGCCCTTAACTTACACAAAAAGTTCAGTACAGCTAGTTACCCGTATGTTTGAAACTCGAGCGTTGTATATGGGTGTATATGTACACGATTTTTTATTTTTTTTAATTTTTGAATAAGATGCTCTACTTGGCCTCTTTTTGGCTACGATAGTTCAATTATTTTTTTTATTATCAATACTAATTATCATTAATGAAATAATAGTCAGTCAGAGGGCTTATTTATGGTAATATGTATACTAAGCCTGAAGGTGGCGCTTTCCTACGGCGGGCATCTTGGATGGTACACATACATAACTCTGCATTGCTTCGCCATCTTGTCAGCACTCTAGTTATTTAATAGCTCTATGCAGAAAAGTAATGAGTTTTAGGAGAGGGCGTCCTAGTCGTTGCCATGGATCTGATATAGGGTGTTCGCGTTACGCCAAAGTTCGTTACCAAGTCGTTAATTTGTTCCTTATGTTCTAAAGAGAGGGCGCATTGTAAATCAGACGCTTTTAATTTGTTACGCGTAAACGTAAAGTCACGCGGCGTACGCTATGGTCAGAGCGGTCAAGGTTCAAAAGTTTCAATTTAGCAATTACAGAATTTGCACGCGTAAATCGCGGAGAACGCTATCTTGGGTTTATAAGATCTTTTTGAGCAATATTCCTCCATCCCAGTGGCGGCGCTATTCTTTAATTGGTTCGATTAGTTGAATAACTCTGATTCGTTTGTTTTCATGAGTTTCTCTACTCCATGAAATAAGTTTCCTCAATTCTAGAGAGGGCGGACTTTCCATCAAATTTAATGGAAACTACGCGAAGAGCTCATTCTTCTGCTATTTATGTTCTTTGGTATTAGTTATTTGAATAGAAAAAATAAGTCAGCTGGCTCTCTCAAACTATAAAAACATGTTGCAGTATTAGTTCATTGTTTTTAAGGTCAATGGAATATTACCAAAATTGATACCAGTTCACTGTGGTTGAAATATTTTACACTGTAATCAGGCCTATGTTATAAATAATGTCATTATATTCTAGCATTTGTTAAGTTACTGTTACATTGTGATGATGTGTCTATTTTTGTTGTTTTGTAATACAAGTGTATATATGAATCACGACTGTATATATAAAACAAGACCCAAATCGGACTTTCGCGGCTCGTTTTAAAATGGCTAACATGCTAGAGTTTTAAATCTTGGCTAATAATAGAGATGTGTGAACTTGGTGTCCATACCATGGCCTATACCATAATCTATAACATGGTCTATACCATAGTCTATACCATGGTCTATACCATGGTCTATATTTATGCTTCTAGGTTTCCACAAATGAATAACAATATTTTCAAAATCTCTTAATGTCCACCATTTTTTTTCCAATAATGGCTCTTGTTTTATGATAAAGCGTTAAGTTCAGTTTTTCGTTTCTGGCAAAGCCACATTTATTCAATAATAAAATAATAATTTTTGAACTTATTTGGTGAGCCTTTTGATGAGTTTGGCTTTTGGGTTTTGGCAATGTGCTTGGCTTGGTGAATTACTGTGTTTTTACGGAATTTCTTTTCAATTCAACGTTTTTGTATACACTTTTATAATTTTTGGTAGCTTGTATACCTGAGAAATAAATAAATATAAAAGCAATGATTTTCAGAATAATAAATTATAAATATTCGTATTCAAGTTATTTAAAAACAATGTTTATTAAGCTCTGTCTACACTATCAAATTTTGTGTGACAAAAAGTGTGATATGCCCATATATGGGCATGATGACGTCACACCATGACCATATAGACATAACATTACTATATATGGGCATGTCACATTTTTTTGTCAAAGAAAATTTGATAGTGTGGATAGAGCTTTAGACCGCTTTTAAGATTTATCAAATTACTGTAATTACTGTGATTATTTTGCAAGTAGCTTCGCATTCAAGAAATTAGGGAAATGATTCATGGAAATCATGTGATCAGTAATTGCAGAGTTGTCAGTTACTTGGAATGCAGAATCCTAGCTGTTCTGGTGAGGCGTGTTAACATCTAATTTATTTTATTTCATTCGTGTGGAGAAAGACTTACATGTTTCGCAAATATTACCTTATTTGCAGTTGCAACAGTATACTTAGTACCATCCAGCAACAATCTCTTATTTTTTCACGTTGTCCTTTACATACACTACTGTAGTTGATTTATTAGTTTGTTTTGTGGGATGGCGCTAACCAGCTATTGTGACAGTTGGGACAGTCCCACACAATTTTTCTATTGGGTCCACAAAGAATGGGTACACATTTTCAAAAATGGGTCTAAATTATGCTGTTTTAATAACACAAAATGAGTTATGTTTTTGAAAAATGCGTCCAGATTTTTATTATTTTGGGCATGTCACATTTTTTTGTCAAAGAAAATTTGATAGTGTGGATAGAGCTTTAGACCGCTTTTAAGATTTATCAAATTACAAGTAACAGAAAATTTGCATAATCAACTTTCGCTCTTTCTTTCATTTCTTTTTAAAGATATTTACCATTTATTTTTTGTAACTTCTCAGATTTGTTTATAAGTCATATCTTTATTTTTCCTATAATTCCCAGCAGAGTCGCGTTTATGTATTTTTATTTTAAATTCCATAAGGCAGAATATAGCATAATATTTTGTACGTTGGCTTTGATTTTACTTATTTTATATGTTGCACTTGTGTGACCCTTAGTGTATTTTGAAACTAAACTCCACAACCGGATTTTACCAATGGCAGATAGGATGCTAATTTTCAATTTGATTTTAATGTCGAACACATAATAGGATAGGCCTAATAAAATAACAGAAGTACTACTTCTGATTTTTTTTGTGTTTAGCAGCTTAATGTAAAGCTACTATCTCTCCTAAGCATCAATTTTATCATCCAATAAATGTACACTTGATGTTTCCAAAGGGTATAGAAGAAATTCTTCTCTCTTTGTTATGCTTTAATTATTGTTCGACTCGGACTGGCAAATTTTCCTTGACAAAACACTTTTGTCCTGATGTGCCTATGATGTGATGTCATCATGACCATGACGCTTGTCATATGTTTCAGAGAAATATAATTTGATAGTCTGGACGGGCTTTATACTATAACCTACATACACAATCATTTCAATATCATTCCTGACGATGATATAATTAATGTCGAAATATTAATCCCGACACGATGTCGTGCATTTCGATATAGAGTATGTATCATACTATCTCATCTGATATAAATCAGTGGACCTTTCAGTTCTGTATGTTATATACGAAATAAAACTCGGGTCCTTTTCTTTTTCTGTCAATGAAAGATGTAATGTATGAGCACATCATATCAACAGTACCATGCAAATGTGACATTTATTTGTATTTGCTAAGCCCATGAGCCCACGAAGGAAAGAATGTTTAGCCATAGTTACATCGTCATACCGGAATTTACTGTAGCCAACAGTGTAACAAGAGCTAACTTTACAATCAATGACAAATGACTTTCAGTTCTGAATGCTATATACGCAATAAAACTCAATATTTTCAAAATATTGTAAGCTTCATCTGAAACATATAGCAGCATCCTTGTGTCTACCTTCTAATTATTACCCTTCTATACAACAGAACACTAGTAGTGCTTTGTTTTTGGGCTATACATTATACTAATACAAAATTTTCAAAACACCCGATCATTTTAACAAAAGTATTTTTATGTTTTTAATTGAAATTTGGAGAATACCAATGCTTGTTTTTCCTAAATAACAATTATCCCTCGTATTCAACTAGTCAAGCTTCATCTTTTATTCTTTTTCGTCTACATACTAACTCCGAAAATAAATATAATTTTACTGGCTCTAACCAATAATTAACCGACTTAACGTGTTTCACCTCTTGGCAACTGGACTTCAATGAAAGTTTGGTTAATAGCGCCGCCTATGTTTCGCTTTGACAGACCCAAGCATAGAGATATAATAAGAATACTAGAGCGCTAACCGCAATGTATTCGATGTTCGAAATACACAGAACTATGTGTGTGTACCATCCAAGATGGCTGCCGTAGATTTAGCCAATCAAATTTCGCTAAGCACCATCGTTTGCAATTGCGCCCTCAATTTACTCAGTACAGCTAGTTACCCGTAGTTTGAAACTCGAGCGTTGCGGTGTTTGGGTGTAATGTACACGATTTTAATTTTCATTCCTTGGTACTTATTATTAATATGTAATAATATGTATACTAAGCCTGAAGGTGGCGCTTTACTACGACGGCCATTTTGGATGGTACACATACATAACTCTGCATTGCTGCGCCATCTTGTCAGCACTCTAGTTGTTTAATAGCTCTATGGACCCAAGTGAGGATACTTGGGTATTTTCGTTTGGGTGGACCTAACTTGTCTTTCAAAATCTGCTCGTACATATAGGGATATTTTTAACCCTAGGTTCATCTCTGTCCATAGTGTTCTTGTTTCTGCCCGATCATGATGGATTCTCTTATTTTTCTATCTTGCCACTGTGATTATTTTGAAAGTAGCTTCGCATTCAAGAAATTAGGGAAATGATTCATGGAAATCATGTGATCAGTAATTGCAGAGTTGTCAGTTACTTGGAATGCAGAATCCTAGCTGTTCTGGTGAGGCGTGTTAACATCTAATTTATTTTATTTCATTCGTGTGGAGAAAGACTTACATGTTTCGCAAATATTACCTTATTTGCAGTTGCAACAGTATACTTAGTACCATCCAGCAACAATCTTTTATTTTTTCACGTTGTCCTTTACATACACTACTGTAGTTGATTTATTAGTTTGTTTTGTGGGATGGCGCTAACCAGCTATTGTGACAGTTGGGACAGTCCCACAAAATTTTTCTATTGGGTCCACAAAGAATGGGTTCACATTTTCAAAAATGGGTCTAAATTATGCTGTTTTAATAACACAAAATGAGTCCAGATTTTTCGTATTTTTGCGTAAAATAGGTCAAATGTTAAGAAAATGGGTCCATATTGTTTGAATGTACGTGTAAAATGGGTCTACACTGATATTGTCCCGCAAAGTTGAAAATTCTGGCTATGGCATTGTGGGATCGAAAATGACATGAGTTTTAATATTATTATTATTATTATTATTATTATTATTATTATTATTATTATTATTATTATTATTATCATTATTATTATTATTATTATTATTATTATTATTAGCCTATTATTTTTATTAT